TTCCTGATGCGGTTTTTATGCGGAATGGTGTTGACTGTTCTGCCGCGCTTTGCACTTGGCTCGTGGCTTCGTGATAGATCATTTTTATCCATTGGATGTATACTTCTGAAACCATGTGCTTTCGCAGTGCCCACTATATGATATCATGAGGTACCTTGTCGAAAGCTTTCTCCATATCAAGGAAAGCCGCATGCAGCTCTCTTCGTTTTTTCTATATACTTCTCCATCACTACAGTATGGATGGCGTCAGCAATACCGGCACCCTTTACAAATCCACACTGATTGGATAGCAACTCTATGATCGCTCGAAGTCGCATTTCAAGTGCTCTTTCGAAGATCTTCAGAGTGTGGCTCATCACCTGGACTGGCCGATACTTTGAACAATCTACGATATCGCCTTTACTTTTCCATATCGGAATCTTTCTGCTTTTTGACCAATCATGGGACATCCTATTAGCTTTGATGACCTGATTGAAGAGGCTTGCAAGCCATGAGGCACCGAGACATCCGCATGCTTTCCATAATTTGCGTGGTATGCCATCTGGACCAGAAGCCTTGCCGTTCTTTGTCCTTGCTATAGCAAGCCACACTTTCTCTGCTGTTATGAGTGGTACCGGTCCTTTCACAGGATCAGCTGGTGGGGTGGCTGTGCTACTGCTGGTAGTAGACCACATTTCTTCGAAGTACGTTTGCCATCTCTCAGTTATTTCCTGTGGTCTTCTTAACGTTTTAATAAGTTTTTTTATCCTTTACATGAAAAGGGTCCATATCTGCGGACTCTGCCCTTCCTCGCGCTATTCGATATATATATCGCGCTCCCCATCACGCTTTCTTCGCTTTCTTGACACATGTTTTTGCAACGTGTTTCACTTTTAAGAACAATTGTCAGTCGCTTTCCGATTTCGACTTATGCCATTGCTTGTACGCCTGACTCTTTTCCTTAATCACCGTTTGTCTCATCGTTCCACCACTTTCTTTGTCGATTCTTCTTCTTCCTGGCTTTGTATGACGCAAACTCCTTGGGTGGTAGTAATCCCCCAAATTTGTCGCAACAAGAACGAACCATGCTCGTGACAACTCCAAAATGGCATGAGCTAGTTACGAACATGTCTTAAAGTTTTTCTGCAGTTTTGAGGATAGA